TGTCCGTACTTGGGAGGAGAAGACACGCTTTAACTCTCTCTGATTAGGCACCCGCGGGAGCGAGGAAAGGAAGGGAAGAAGTGGCCCTCCCGAATCGGGGAAGGGGGCCCACACATAGTAGCCTTTTTCAGGCATACGCATGCTCCTGTCTACGTACCCCCCCGTGCTGCTAGCAGATCTACCATGCTCGTCTCCAGCCACACGAACATCCATACTCTCACACCACTACGGCCCTCTCTCGACACCCTTGTGCCGTGACCATGATGCTGTCGCCTGTTCAATCCAAATGGCTCAGACCAAGCTGTGCTTGCACCACTACCTTGGGGGCTCAGGCGCGGGGAACTCAGGGGCGAACAACGTCGAGCACACCCCTCCACGAACGTTCGAAAACGAGGTGACCGACGAGGAGATTGAAGAACAGACGGCCAAGATCCTAACTGTGTACTTTCACCGAGCGAAGAACCCGAAGATCTTCAAACAGCTTCAGACCCCCACGAAGAGACTGGGAGGGAAGGGGAAGGAGAAGGTGAATGGGTGAGAATAGGAACCCGACGTAGCATGGCGCACTTGTAGGCTCCATGACGAGAAGGGTGCAGGGAGGGACGTGGGCCCCGAGCGGCACTCCGCTCGAAGGCATCCATCGTCGTTTCGTCGCTCGTGTGTTCGCCGTCAAACACGCGTTTCTACCTCAGCACAGTTTCGAATTTGCTTGGTGCCATGAACTCTCTGAAAGATTAAACGTGTTCCGTCCGCCCGACTCTGCGAACTTTTCGCCGAAGGTAAGGACCATCATCAAGCTGGCACACGCGGTGCGATGTTTTTCGCGTCAACACCCTCAACCGTTTCTATATGTTGGCGTCAATCCTCAAAGGTCAAAATTCTGCGGCATTCCTATAGTGGACACCCTATACTTCCGCTGTCACATAAGTAAAGTCCGTTATGGGGGAATTGACATACCTCACCAGCCAAGGTGTTCCTGAAGCTCTAGTTAGGTTTGTTGGAAAGCGCTTGTTACGCACATAACTAAAAAAAAACAAAAAAATCCGACTCACAATTACTGAGAATTAGTGTGTCAAATACGGGACTATTTTGCGAATATTTTGGGAATATTTTGAAAAACATTTTGAGAATATTTTAAAGAATATTTGCAGCTTTGTGCTGTGTGAGCACCCACTACCACCACAACGACGTAGCTATCATGGGGGACGACCCCCAGACACCCCCACGTCGTAAGCGGGGTGCGGTTGTATCGTTGGGTCGTCGGTACGCCATGGCGGTGGAGATAGCGTTGGCGATTCCGCCGGGCAAAGAAAGGGTACCCAAGTGCTTTCTAGGCCCCCCCGCCGAGCGGTACGGCGTTGGTAGTGATTACCCCAGAAAACATCTGGCGGAATGCAAAGCGCAGATCGATGAAGAAACCGGAGAGCTCGACCTTTCAAACAAACGTCTGAGTGGGCGGCCATCGCTCCTCACTCCGACGAAGGCCGCGGCGTTGCGCAAGGTCAACAAGGAGAATCGGTCATTCACGCTGAGGCAAGTGTATTGGTTTTAGTGTGGGCCTCGAAAATGTCTTGATTTTAGTGTGGGTTCACTACTATGTTGGTTTTTGTATGGGAGGACGCGAAATGGATCGTTCAGTAGAGGTAACCTTGGGTTTAGGGTTCGGGATAATTCTTGTCTTTTTTTGGTATGTTTCGTTTCGTGCCCCCACCCCCACCCTCATGGAAAGGGGCAAAATACGGCCTTTTTTGGCCTGACTACTTTTTGTAAGCCGCTAGTGCATGCAGGGTAGTGTGCAAGAAAAAAAAAGAAACATGGGTTTCAACCCGAAAAACGCTCAAGATTTCAAAAAAAGTATCGCTTAAGACATCGGACACGGCTAAATGGCCGTGTAATCATAACGGACTTTACTTATGTGACAGAGGAAGTATACATCTGCAGTCGTCGTTGCACGAGAGGTGACTGGTGCAACACATCATGCTCTGGACGCGAACATGCTAGGTCCAGTAGCCGTACGTTGGACGCAATGATTATTCACGCCTGCTGCTTCAAACAGAGTGAAAGGCTTGCCAAAATCCTGCGGCGGCGACGGGACCGATGAGGTGTTCTGCTGCAAGACGCATCGATATCTCCTGCTGCTGCTGCTGCTGCTGCTGCTGTGCTGCTGATTACTCTTGCTTGAGGTGCTGTGGGATGCGGCGGAGGCCTGGCTATATCTGCCATTGTTATCCCTGTGTGGTGTTGTGCTGATATCGATATGCATAGCAGTTTTGTTATTCAGCTGTTTTATCTCTGTGTGGTGTTTGTCTATATCGATCCCCCTAATCGGCGTATTTCACGTGGTTTGCGCGTTTAGTTATGCGTTTTTGTTGGCCCAGCTCTTGTCCTCCAGAACCCTTTGACCCTGACCAAGGATGTCACAGTAGAGTTCCTTCACCTTGGAATCCGCTACCGTTGGAACCCTCTTCTACTGTAAACTGTATATACACCGAACCACGAGCTATTCTGCGATAAGGGGGGCACGTTTTGAGGCACGGGTGACCTCAACCTGCCCGCAGCTCTCTCAACCATACCAGTTCGAAATATGTTTTTTGGGCAGGCAGCGAGCTACGGGTATCTGGCGAGGTGAAACACTCAAATTATGTCTTCCGTTGTGGCATGAGGATAGATTGCTCCGCAATTTTGGACGCATGTGGTCGGGGGTGCATCATCTATCGTAGCGTGGCTCCCAACGCCTCGGCCCATCCCCTCGGTCGGTCCTTCGAATTTATGTCGTTGTCGCAAAGGTTGTCGCGGTTTCCGCAGAAATAGACTATTAATAATACACTATAGTTCAAAAAATATATATATATTCTATGTTGTAGCGATTTGAAGGGTAACAAGTCAATGAGGAGTTTACACACATCTCGACAGTGGTATTCTCGAACGGGTAGTCTTCCTCTCTGTGTTTATGTGAATATTACACAGTTTCGGACTCGAAATTTTCCGGATTAAGGAAGCAGATTTTGATGTACGACGAAGTAAGAAAGTTTCCTGGAAACTTCGTGCAGTGGAATTTTTCAGATTTAAGCGGCTTCATGTGATTGGCTGTGGGTCAACAGTCCTCCCACGAACTTCCCTGTCCGCAGGTTCTGTTCCTTGTCGTGGTGCGCTGCGTGACAGCTAGCTGTGCACCTTGCTTGATGACAAGGGGCTCTCACTGCTGCTGCTGTTGAGTGTGCGTGCGTGCGTGGGTGCGCGTGTCCGTGTCTGCGTCGCTCCCTCAACCCCAGCACACGAATCCACACCACACCAGTACGGAGACAGGAAGTGATTACTGTACACTGGCCAACGACAGCCTCTGAACGAAGTGCTATGTCGCGTTTCAAGCGTGCGGGAGAGAGACGGGGGGTCTGGGACCGGGAGGCACATCCGAGTCTACCGCTCTTCTTTCTAGTAGACACCACAGAAAATACTCTTGCGCGCTGATGGACGCGCCCGCCTTCACCAGGAGGCCACTACGTGCTCTTCCTCCTGTCTTCTCTTCGTCAATGCTGGCGGCGTTGCCACCACCGCTAGGTTCGTTCGCTTTTCCTCCCCCTTGCCTCAATGTGACGGGGGTATTACTGACCTCAAGCCAGCCGGAAACAAACCCAACTTGTTGACCGTGCAGCGTCCCTGTTTTTGTGTTGGTGGCGCGCCAACTCCAAGGCCTTTCGCTGGGCGCTGGCTTTCTCTTGGCCGCGCTGACATGTTCTCAGCAGACTGCAGTGTGTGCGTGCGGTGGTGCGTTTGATGTGATACTTCGAAGAAAATTCCTAAATCGAAAAATTGTGCAAATTTTTCCACAAACCAAGCCTCCCTCGGCTCTTAAATCTGAAGGTCTGAAGGTATTTTTTTTCCTTGCGGTGGGTTCTTCTGGCGAGACTGTCAGGAGCGATCCTAAGAACGACGGCTTAACTCAAAATAAATAACTCAAAATAAATATGTCTAACTCAAAATAAATATGTTCCATATTTATATTACTATATATATTTGTGCCTTCCGACAATTGCAGATGTACCTCAGAAAACTTTCACTTAATGTCTCATACTCTACACGAATATTAAACCAATACGAAGTACAACAACGTATGTAGGACTTATTTCTACTGTCACTTACATCGTAAAAATATCTCCTCTTCAACTTGAAATAAAACCAATGACAATCCTCATGGTATCCTATATGCGTTCGTAAGCTTGCTAAAATACTACTGCGTTGATGTCCTCTTGTAAAAGCTGAAATACAACAAATGCTTTGATCCATGCTACATCTCCGTGTTGGAAAAGCCCTTTCATCTCCGTTCATGATAACATCTTACCCTATTCTACGCAAATCTGTCACATCTACTCTCAAACAAGACGCCAACTTCAAACGAAAACGCGTTCTACGATGCGTCTACACTCCATCCCCATATCATTGGCGTTGACTGGTCCGAGGTCGATCTTGTTCGCCTGTTTTCGGCGTCTTGACGCCCGCGCAATGCGAGCTTGTACCTCTGCACTCGCCGAGATATGGCCACCTGTGTAGCCACCGAAACGATCTGAAGAAGTCGTTCCTTGAAGACTCCTTTCAGAGCCATCGTTCCTCCGTCCCTTCCTCCCACGGCATGTGTCGCAAGTTCATCGATGAACTCGTAACCCTCCTCTCCAAGGCGGCCAAAGCTTTCCACGGCTAAGGTGGTAAGTTTAAAGCTGCGTTCGTCAAAGGACACGTGTCCCGGACGAGCGTAGTGCTGACGCTTTCGCGCCTCGGATGCTTGGGCTGCGATTCCATCGCTGGTCGCGCTGCCGTTCCGCAAGTGTACCTGTGCTTGCGGGTCTGCGTGTGTGACATCGAGGAGTATTCCTTTGTTGCGGTACCCCGGAGAAGATGCGTTCGTGAGGGCTCCTGGCCTGATGACGATGTCCATGCTCAGGTTTCTTTCCCCCGTGAACGGTGCCCCGCTTTCAACGTCGTGTTTGACGCGAAGGCCGTTGAGTGCTCTCGATAGTGCGTATTTTAACGGCTCGTGCATGTTGACCTGTGCTCCATCCCTTCGACAGGTCCTTGCGTGCACCGTTGTGATGATCTCGCCTTCCCTGCCTCTGTGGCACCTGGGACATCTTTCCGCCAAGAATTCTTCAACTCCCAAGGCGCGTCTCGTCGCGTAGACGAATTCGTTCGATGGAATCTCTCGAGCTCGGTCGGTGGGAGCCGCTCTCAGGAACGCGTGCCCCCCTTGCCCTTGCGAGCTTCTCGTTCGTGCGTATGCCATGTTCCTGGCCTCTTGACCTCCGTAGGGGTTGTCCCGCGTGGGTGGTACCGCCTCCTGGGGGAGGTGCTCCAGAGACTCCATGAACTTTTCAAGTTGTATCTTGTTAATCGCCTTGCCCAGTTTGTGCTGGGCTTTCCTCGGCGTAGTAGATTCCCCATCGTGTGCTGCCAGTTCTGCAACGGTGGGCTGACGCCTTCCGGTTTCTCCTGTCGGTTCTAAGGCCCACTCAACCCATGACGGGGGAAGGATCCCCTTCAGAATCTCCACCGATATTCCATGCTCCTGGTTGAGTTCTTTGATAGCGTCCCCCATCCGCTCCACCAACACGGTTCCCGGTATCCGAACTCTCACCGACTCTCCCAATGGACCCCGTAACGCGGCTATAACCGCAGGAAGGGTGCCGACTAGGTTGCCCAGAGAAGCTGAGAACCTTCGCATAACGGCTGCTGGTAATCCTAGTCCTCCGGCTCCTGTCGACAGGCGCGCCTGGGCTTGTTGATAGGGCTTTAACTTGAAGCGGTCAGGCTGGCAGTCGTCTTGGAAGAACTCTTCTTCGACTTCGGTATCTCTGAGCCCCATCGTTGCCTCTAGGACCCACATCACCATATTGTCCAGGCGTTTACAAGCCCCTTTCACTAGCTTATGATTGATGCCTCTCTCGATATATCCGGATCGCTGTGTCAGCGATTGTGATGTGACGAGGTGAGCCACCTGTTTGTCTGGCATGCGCACCAGCATGCGAGCAAGCTTGTCTGCACCCCCTTCAGTTATCACTTTCATTGCGATATCCTCGACGTAGGCATCCGTCCCAATGGGGACTCCCACAACTGTGATGCCCTCCTCCGCAATCGGTAGGCCTGCATCGCCAAGTAGCCTCCTTTCTGCTGGCGTCACGTCGTGCCCTGGTGGGGGAAGCGCTGAGCTCTTCCCCCTGTTGACGATGATGCCCACAGCTTCTAGTTCGTCGACGAGGTCCGGTATCACCTGGATATTTTCCGCTGTGATATTTTTGAAGTGCAGGCTGATGTCGTCCATATAAGCTTTCAAGCATACCCCGAGGTGGTCGTACTTGGCTCTAAGCTTCAAGACGATCGGGACTAGGATGAAGCAGAACAGGGGCGGTCCCATTCCATCTCCTTGCTGCACACCGCTCTTGCACTCGATCGTCCGACGCTCTCCGGAGTCCATCGTGTATATCGCCTTTGCCGGGATTTCGTCGTAACACCTGGCGATGTACCCCACGAGATCTGGGACGCTCTTTGCGGCCTGGGCCATTATGGCGGTGCGCTTGCCCGTGTTGAAGGCATTTGAGCAATCCGTCTGGACTACCCAATGACCTGTCTGATGAACCAGTTGTGCGTCCATCGCAACTTGTTCAACTCCTCCAGCTACCGCCACTCCGAATTGGTCCGCTTCCCGAAATATTTCTTCCAGTTTCGGTTTCCACTCCCTGACCGTTCCCGCTGCAATCAGCCTTCTCCAAGTCATTCCAATGCACACTGGACGGCACTTTTCACCGAGGGCGATTAGACTGGATTGTTTCCAAAGAGTCCAGAACTCCGGTGGGAACGCGTTGGGATCGTTGATGAGCCTCCTCCAAAGGGACGACATCGCGTTGCTGAACTCTTCCCGACCAATTTTAGTGTTGACGATGGACTTAAGGTGGGAGAAACGTTGCCCGTCATTTCCTGCTCCAGAGTTAGAGCTTCTGCTGTTGATGACTTGAAGGAGTACTTGTGGATCGAACTCGGTTTCTGGCCTCCATCTCGGGGCGCTTCCTTCCTCCTCCTCGGTGCGGCTTGCAGCTATGGCTTCGGCGATGGCCTGCTCCACTTGTACGGGATCCTCATGCGGAAATTTGGCTTTCAGACGTGCCCATGTCTCGTCGTTCCCCGGTGACGGTTGATCGGCTAGGAGCGCTCTTGCTGCGTCCTTCACGCCTCCAGAGTGCCGGCACGCCCTCGCCGCCCTTTTGAACTTGTCGTCGGGTGTGTCTTCCCGTGCCGGTCCCCTGCTCCTTGCACTCGCCGCCTTGGTATACTCAATCAGCCAAGGAAGAACGGACGATATATCCCCTCTTTTGAGCGAGTTGTAGCCGTTTTTTCGAGCTATCCGACCATCAAAGGAGTGCAGAATACCTGGTAGGAGGTACCAAAGTTTGATGACCCGGATAGTGGAAAGTGGGGTCCCGGTCGCCGAGGAAGCTCCGCCGCCTTCTGCTAGCTGCTTGTTAACAAGGTGGAGCACGTGAGTTTGGAGACGGGCATGGTCGGAAGCAAACCTAGGTTGAACTTTCTTCACCGTCTGGAACCTGAGTGAGAGATCATCCATGCTGACATCGTCCAAAGCAGGCCCTATTCCCGGACTGTCTTGGTTCCAGATGTACAGCGGACGTGCTCCGTGGGGTTCGTCGTTTAACCCCCTTATCAGTCTTTCAGCTCGTAGCTGCAGCCCCGGGTCAGCTTGAACCGCCGCCTCCAGGCTGTCCCTCCGAGAGTGTTGGTCCCCGCACCCGTGCACCCTACACTCAAGCAGCGCGCGTTCTCCGCGTCCCTCCAAGCTAGTTAGTACGCATCTTGCGTGGATGGGATGCCCGCAAGTGGGTTGCACCACACGGTGTCCCTCGATGACCTCACCCGAGCACACTCCGCATCTGGTACTGGAACGAGGGTGCTCGCTTCTGTTCCCCGTGGCGCCAGGTTCCATGCTTCCTCCAGCGTCCCCGTTCCTGGTCGCTCGGTCATCGGCACCCGGAGTACCCGTTCGTCCCGATTCCCTTCCCCGGTGTGTTCGTGCCGGATGTGATGGCGTTCCTCTTTCTCGCGACTCACCGTCTGGATCCGGTTCACTTCCCTGCCGGCGTCGCCTGTTTCCGCCTTGAGGTGGTTCCGAGGAAGTTCGTTGACGTTCACCCGATGTAGTAGCGTCATCCGATAATCCGCTACCCTCGCGAGCAGATGGTCTGCGCCGCCTTGGCGTTCCTAGTGATTGGCTTCTTTCCCCGGGTCTTACTTGAGGGCTCGTCCGACTGGTGGCGTGTGCTGTTGTGGATGGGTTTCTCGGGGACAACAATCCTCCTTCCTCCTCTGGGCCGCTTCCCATGTCAAAGCCCGGGTCGATGCCAACTCCCGTCACCCTTCGTGGGGCCACGACAGTCGGGGTCACTGTGTTGCTGCTGGTTTCGCCTCCTTGGTGGAGTGGTACATGGTGTTCATCCCAGTCGTCGTGGCGCCGAGCCACCCCCCTGCCCGTGGGAATGGCGGCAGAGGTTGGCCGGGGTTGCGTAGGGCGTTCTGTACTGCTACGGTGTAGAATGTGAGATGCGATTCGCACTCCTGGTCCAGGTGCACCAGGTATTCCTGTACGTGTGGCGCAATGTAGATTCTGCCCCGGGGGAGCCGCAATAGCACCTGATACGGCCGTATTCCATGGGCGTAAAATGTAGAGCGGTATCTCTGGACCAACCGGTCCCACCCGTTGTCCTCGTTGCGGCCCCGAGGGAAGTATATGTAAACGCTTCTGTCCATCCCGAATACGTCGCAGAACAGAGTGACCAGGAGCCAGGAAGCCGTCTCACTTCTCCCGTGGGCCCGCACCACACTCTCGAAGGGGTCGAAATGCCCCGCCAGGTCCGCGCCGGATTCGGACATAGACCATGTCTCGAAATGTCCCTCTATCTCGGATGCGAAAGACACTGCCTCCCTCAGGAAGTCCCACCGTCCCCCGGCGTGCGGCAGTTCGTGGTTCTGGACAAGTTCCGCGGGATGAGGAGGTCGTCGTCCGTTCGATCCTTCCTGCGAGCAGTTGGCACATGGTCGTGGATCCACGCGTCCGTGTGCTATCTGGTCGGCTCTGTCCCACAGGCAGTTGGCGTGCACCGACCCGTGGTGTCCACACGGGATCTGGATAGGCTCGAGTCCCTCGGCCTGTGGTGGTGGCCTAAAGTGGCCTCCACAGTACGAACACGATCCGGTGCTACCGCCTCCGTTCGCGCCGGTGAGTTGGGGCCGTGTGTCGGGGACGGAACGTCGCGTTTCACCTGCTCGATCAAGCTCGCGCAATCTCTCACGAGCTGCTACAACCCTATCCTGCAATGTTTCCCGCTCTCTATCAACGAGACTCCATGCCGGGATCGTGATGGCTACTATCTCTAGGAGGCGGGACCAAAAGACGTCGCGCCTCGAATCGTGCATGGCTGGATTCGGGCACGCCACCATCCTAGAGCTGTCCGACGGCGCGGTAGAGAGCAGGTGGTTCTCCACGAAGGTCATCACGCACGTAAGATGTACCCTGCATGAGCACGGCGCGGTGACGAGCGGGCGTTGCCAAGCCCCGTTCTGATGGCATACGACGCAGACCCCGTCCGTCGCCCCTCGCGGAGAAGGCGTTGTAGTCGGAGCAGGTGGCGAAGGAGGAGGAGAAAGTGTGTAGACGGATGTGGACGGGGCCGCGATTCTGTGGGTTGTCTCCTCGTTCCGACGCGACTCCATATTTCTTAAAAAAATTGAGTCCGAAACTGTCAATTGTCCAAAAATAAGATAGCAAGCCACAACGTCCCAAAACAGTCGGACTCCCAGTAGTCTATTACACCGAGACAATTTTTACCAGGTATGTAGACTATGCGTGTTGGGTAGGTATCCTCCCGCCCCGCCTCTTTATCTGCGATATTAGCCTATTATTGCTGCCTGCTGTATAGTCTAATCTTCGAAGTATTTGTGGTTTCTCTTTCTCCGCAGGACGTGTCCACTTCAGGGAGGGCTTTCCTGCCAGCACCGCCGTCAAGATAATGGCGGAGGACGGCGACAAATCGGCGCTAGTGGTACGTGCCGCTGCACACTTCACAGTTCGGTGCTGCAAAATCAAGTTCTTGGCATCGGTGTGATTGTAATTGGGACGGCTGTTACGTACCCGGAAACAAGTAGCTACCCTGCTGTTATCGTGTACGTCCTTCTTATTTGTAGTGTTGTGTGGTTGTCGAGCCTGACGCGGGGGATGCACTGCTGATTGAGAACGCTTTAGCTTACTACATGGTCCACAGTAGTCTACACCCCTCTTAGATAGAGGACGGTACCAGAGCTCTCTAGACTATTGAGGCAATGATCCCGTACCACGTAGTTTCCTGGAAGGCACTAGGCGTAGACTATTAGGAGGTGTGTCTGAAGCCCTTCGAGTCGAGTCGAGAGCTGTTTCCTGGCGTTCACGCACGTCGTGCTGAGGTTCTTGAACACGTTCGTGCTCGGTGCTTGCATGTTTGCATGATCAGGAGCTCCTGGCCTCACTCAGAAGATGTGAAGCCGTACATCTGCGGTGGCGTGATGGGCGAAGCTCCCTTCTCCGCCGGGACACATGGAGGGGCGTCATGACGGTCGACGAGAGCATCTGCCCCGACGCACAGTACAGCGTCGTTGAGCATGCTGAGTGAGTCGTCGTCGTCTCGTTTCAGAATTTCGGGCGGCAGCACTCAACACCTTGTTGTCACCATTTAGCAAGAAGCAAGAACTGCAGAGTAAATGAGCGGCCCTACCCTGGGCTCCGTTCGAGCGGTACGCGTTACTGCACTGGTGCTACATATGCTCTCGCAACGTGAGGGCCAAGCTATTGTGGGATTTCCGTGTGGATCCCGGCAGGTGGTGGCAAAGGTTCACACCGATAGACATTCGCCTAAGGAGGGTTCTTAACGATTCTTCGGTTTGTTGGAATATGCCGACTGGCTTTCGGAGAAATCCGAACGGACCGCCTGACGTTTCTTAACGTCAGGCGGTCCATTTTTTGAATTTCTCAGACTTTTCGGTTTGAAAACGTACAGCATTTACACACCACAGCCTTCAGGCAGGCGGCAGCGCCAGCGTACAAACATGCAGAGCGACGAGAACAGCGGACCTACCGGCGGCAGGCCGCCGAGGGGCCATCGCCGACCCGCGAGATACGACAACACAGGCGAAAGTGGTGCTGCCTGTGGTCATGGGTTGGGTCATGGGTTGCAGCAGTCTGCTGCCGCCGTTGATGATGACAACGGCCGCGGCCGCGACCCTCTCCCGAGCCACGCCTCTCGCCGGCTGCGCGTGGCCGCCCCCGCCGCTGCCGTAGAAGCGGAGGGTTCGCGATGCCCCCTTACGATGCTGTCGCAAGCTGCCGGGGTCGCCGGGTTTGCTACCACGACAACCACCGCAGCAGCCATCGCCCGCATCACGGAAAGCGGGTTCATCTCCAGGCTGCGACGCTTTCGCCGCCTTTGCTCCGCGAAATCTGCAGATCCACAGCGCTTTCCGTGACCATCCATGGTCTACAAGCTTACAGGCGACACAAGCAAGCCACCTGGGGACTGTCCCCGAGATCTGGAGTGCGAGAGGGTGCTCAGCGTGCTGGCGACTGCAGTGCAACTCGAGTGCTCCCATTTCGGAGTCATTTCGGAGTTTCTCTTCGGAAAATGCCGAAAATGAAGCGGCGCCCGAAAAATTCCGACGCTTCATTTTCAGCATTTTCCGACAAGAAATCGGCATTTTCCGAAAAAGTAGGGCGCATGTCGGCATATTCCAACAGAACAAATCTCGTTAAGAACCCTCCTAATAGTCTGTCCAGCTAGCTCGCCGATAGCAGGTGATAGACTACTTGTTGATGTTGATTGAGTAGGCGCTTGCGGCCAACAAAGACTTGTAGAGAACGATAGACTTTGGCAGTCTAGGGAAGAACACAGGAGAGAAAGCAGAGTGAGAGAGAAGGGGGACGAGTTTGGCTGCACCTCTTTTCTTCCTAGAAAAGCAGACACACACACATGTCGAATTTTGGCCCCCTTCCAGGGACCTTGATTTTTACCCGCTGGCACTGACGTCAATAATTGGTCAACCGGTTAGCGCGGTCCATGCTAATAATAAAAGTATAAACACACACACATGTTCTAGACCAGTTCTAGAGGCTGTTCTGGAGACTTAAAGACCGGTCCGGAAACGTTCCGGGATCCGCAATACTATTCCAGGAACCAAAGGGGTCCTACTTGGTTTCCTTGAACCAACTACTGTTCTTGAGAACGTTCCTCAAGACGTGGTGTAACCATTCAGATCTCCACTGCTATGGTACTCTACTGAACATTGACTTATTATGTAGCCTTGTTAATCCATGACACAAGCCTTTGAGCATTGGTGCCACCCACTACACGACGCCTCTAACCTCTCACTCCCCGATCCTCTCCCATGACCCTTACTCGTCGTGCTTTATCTCGCGGCTCACCGCGCTCACATCTCCTCCTGGTCGTGTTCCGGTCGCAGTCAACACCAACGACGCTTTCGTGGGCATCGACTCCAGCAGGCTGGTCGGGACCGGAAAGGTGTCCCCGCCGGCCTTCGATGCCGGTGAGGGAGAAAGCTGGTTGTGTGTCCTCGAATGTTCTTGTCACCATACAAGGTGGTGGTAGACGATATCTATCTGCCGATCGATACGATAAAGTGAAAAATTCTACTGGTAGAATGTACTGGCACCCAATGCGTGAATATATCTGTGGTCGTGAATGAAGTACTGGGGTTCGGCTTTCACGTCCCGCCTGAAGGGGGTCGGGGGATCATCTTGGTTAATATTATCATTTGCGTGGCTGAACAGCAATCGCGAGCGTTCATGCGTCTGATACACCCCTCTTCCTCGTGCCGCAATATCAACATCCCAATCTATCCACCCCCCAATGGATCGGATCCACCGACGACGCAGGAACCGAGCCCAACAACGAGCTGTGCACCCACATCCCTGGCTCTGCGAGCCTGGCCGACAGCGGCAACATCGAGGACGGGCCCGGCGAAGGGTTCATCCACGTGTCCCGCTGCTTCCATGGGGTGGGCCCGGACCTGGGCGAGGCGAACTACGACTGGCGCAACCCGGTTGTCGAGGTTTTCGTCGCCATGTTCTACGTGTAGAGTCGGACAAGAATTTATGAAGACGAAGGATGAGAAAGAAGATACTACTATTTATCAACGGAACTTCTGAGAGACACGTCTTAAGTAAATATGAACTCGATCGACGGAATCATCATCTGGGGACGCTGTTTTTTGTGTGCCAGAACATTGTGATACGTTTGTCACCAAAGGCATCGTCTGAATGGAACGGAATGGAATATATTCATAATAGTCTAGGACAAAAGACTTGACGGGAACTTGTACGGCTTGATCCGGGTGGTCCGTGTGTCGTTGGCGTGCCGGTCTCAACCGGATGTGTTAAGAATTTCAATGTATAGCGAGCAAGGCGCTCTATCGTGTTCAAGGCCAGCCATTGAGCCTTGTGCAAGGAGATCTCAGTATCAGTCGTGTAGGCCAATAGCTGTTGCGTCGTTTTGCCCCCGCCCCTTATTTCGGGCCACAAGCTGGTGAAGGAGGACGCTTGGACTCTTCGTCACGAACGGACCCAATCCACTCACTCGTGTTCGGCGCCTTGAGGTCCATCCTCGTCTTATCTTTTGGTCATGAATGTCGTGTAGACTAGAGTGTCGATTTTTCCTCTCCCTCTCTTGAGAGGTCGAATTGGAATTGCAGAGAGAGATATCTGTTTGGCTTCACTTTGAAGCGCTGTGCTCCTGCGAATGAAGTTCTTGTGATTCTTTCTCCTGTCGTACCAGGGGCCAATGAATAATCCTCCTTCAAGATCGGCCGCTGTCGAGAAATATATGGAAAAAATTGGGAAATTATTGGCTGTTCTCGGGGGGCGTGAACGAAAATATCGTGGAACCCGGCAAGGAATTCACAACACAATCTTCCTTGTGATATCGAAGAAGTCGATTGATAGCAATTAGCCTGCGACCACGGAGAAAGGCCTCCGTCAGTTGGGCCAGTCAGTCCGGATTTTAGAAGGTTACGGATGCTCCCAAATGTGAAATTCCGAAAGGGTCGCGTTGTGCGTACTAATTTAGCCCATTTTTCGGGAGGAAACACCAAGACAGGGAACACGAACGCATCGAGAAGACATTGTGTTTGCAATCTGATGCCTGTTCCTATCGTCGACACTTTCGATATTTTTCTATTAGCCCCAGAAACCCACCAAAAACGGCAAAGTTGCCGACACATGATAAAGGAAAACACCCCATTCGCGCATCGTAATGAACCTTTGGATACACACATCCACAGATAGCTTGTGGGACAACATACAAAATGATGCCCTCTGCAGGAACACGTTCACAGAAGAAGATTCGCTTTCATAAGATGAATGAATTCTTGACAGTAGTTTTCATCTGATACGCGCGTGAAAATCATGATGTGTCCCTTTGGAGGAACGCGTCCACAGAAGAAGATTCACTTCAGATGTTGACGTAATTCTTGATAGTAGTTTTCATCTGATACGGGCACGTACTTCATCATGTGTCCCTCTGCAGGAACAGAGTCACGCAAGCAGATTTCATAAGTTGAATGAATAACCCAAGTTTTCATCTCATACACACAGGAACTTTGCAATGTGTAGCTCTGCCTCCGGTGGACTCTCTTTAGCCGGGAACGTGTGCATATGAAGGTTGGGGGAGAAGCCGCAACAAGGGGACTTGAAGCGAGCGGTGTCTTGCGCGTCATTAACGGGAAGGACAAAAACGCGACTCGATCAGTGTCTTTGCTCTTGTCTCAACCGCCATCACAGAACGACGCTCGTGTTGCGACAAGTGCATTCACAGAAGGGGTGCATCAATGTGTGAACAGAGTATTGAAACTTCTGTGCACTCGAAGGCGTCAATTCAAGCCCCTCCCCCCGGTAGGCCTCATCTGGGACATTCTAACGCGGCCTCCGGTGGACTTCGGTCAGTCTCGACCGAACGCAGTCCACAAGTTTTTCCCTCCAAAATTATCGGTGTACTACAGTGCATGCGTGTCCATCAGCGTGCTACCTTCAACTACAACAATCAATCACAGGCTGTCTTCTTACACAGGCTACTATTCAGCCGAAACACACGCCCCCCGCCCTTCATCCACCCACCAACAAGTGTCTCTCGCAAGGGTAAACGCATGCCGTTCTCTCCCCCCGTCCTCAGCTTCCAACTCAAGCGAAATGTGGCACGCCTGTAACGCCATCTTGGGGCTCTCAACGAAGCCACCCCTGCAGCTCGTCTCGTCCCCCTGGAAACCCGCCTGGAGGCCGACCTGTCGCACCGCTTCCTCCTCCACGACAAGGCCGGGCTCCGTAGCAGCAGCAGCGGGGGCAGGCGAGCGTCTCAGCACGAATGTGCCACCCGTGGGTCTCGGTGTTGTCGCCGATGCCGTTGCTGTTGAGCCGCCTGCTTGTTCTGCAAGCGCTGCTGGCGCCGTTGCTGTTGTGCCTCCTACTACTGCTGGTGTTGTTTCTGCTGCTGTTGCTGCTGGTTCCGCGGGGCCTGTTGGGGATGTCTCTCTCACGGCTGGTCCGTAAAGGTTATCTCCGTAGATCGGGCAACCCTCCGCCGCGAGCTGTCCCCGGATCTGATGAGTTCTTCCCGTCAGCAGCTGCACCTGTCCTTGTCCGTGTACACCGACGTTCGTACGAACAGGCCTTGCTGTTATTCTCGTTGCGGAATGCATCATCACACGCTTGGCGGTGTCGTGAAGTCAAACTTATCGATGATAAGTGACTGAATGCTAAGCACGGCGGTGAAAAACTAACAGAATGGCGGTCGCTACAGTATCAACGCATGGAATATGAATGGGGGGCGTGAGGGACAAAATGGAGTAGGGCACGGGCCTGGGTAGCCGCATCTGCCTGCCGTCCGTGCTCATGTCCGAGCATCTTTCCGCCCACCGTCGTCCACCTTTTTTGCCCGGACGCGACCCCCGACAAATAACTCCACCATCGGCCGCTCTTAACGAGGTACATAGACCGCATGAATGTAAAGACGAAATCGACTGTTTCTGGACACGAAGTGTCAAGACGAGAGGCTCTCATCGTGCTGATTCACTCGCGAACGCATCATGTGTTTCTAAGGGTTCGCAATTTTCACGTCGAAATGAAAGTATGACCACCCGTGCGCCTTTCGCAACCGTCACTTAGTCAGGCGGTACACGAAAAAAAAAAAAACTGAGATACGAACGAGTCACAGCCCGAACTCCCCCCTACCTCGACCTCCTGCAGCATACCCGTAGACACGCCGCCGCCTCCTCCCCCCCCCTTGATGGAATCGCCTGTTCGAGTAGGAAACCCTGCCGGTGTGACGACAGAGGAGACAGAGGCTTCGCTGGCGGAGAGCACCAGCAACCGGCACTCGATCCACGACCCTTCGTCGTCTTCTCCCCCGCCAGGCGTATCCGCCAATCTAGCGTTGCTGGTAGCCTTTGGCTGTGTTCACGGGAAAACGTGCCGTGTGCGCACGCCGTCCAGAGGGAAGAATATCGCTGGCGTTAGGTATTGTGTGGATGTGTTAGCCCGGCAAAAGTTGCTGGATCGCGAAAGGAGAACGTTGTTCTGCGTGAACGAAGTGCTGCCGTCACCACAGCTTGGCGTTGGAGGAACACCGGGGCTAAGCCGTGAAGTTCGAAAGGAGTTCCAATGTCGTAGTTTCGGTGAGACCCAGGGCCAGGCCTGCTGCTACCGCTCTGACGCATCATTTAGATTGTCTTCGGGCGATTACGGCTACGGTGCCGCAGCAACCCGTGCACATTATTCACTACATGCACGACGTACGATCACTTTTTCACAGCAGCTACACCTGCCGCAACAAAGGTTGGCAGATACGGTTAATGTTTCTCACCTGCGGTGGGCGATCGCGTCGAAAGTCTTTCGGGGCCCTTCGGGAAACCTTCTGGAAGTGTGTCAAGGGGATCGGGGACGCCTTGAGCGGAGAACTCCCCGGCAAAACCTTCAGCGCGGGGGGGGGGGATGGCCCGGAAATACGAATCGTCAAAATCGGGTCGATGCTCAGTGTCGTATTTTGTCGCCATTGTCCAGCACGGGTATATATGGTAGACTATTGGGTAATGTCCACCCCCAAGTTGTGCTTCTTACACCAATTTTTCTTCGTGCTTCGTGCGAAATTGAACCTTAATTTCTCAAAGACAAACCAAATCTCAACTGCGGGCCCGCTCTGCATCACAATCTTCGGTGAAGGCCTTCACGGGAAGTGGGACGCATTGAAGCTGCGAAAATCCCCTAACCCTACTCTAGCATGGGAGAGGAACTATTTGCAAGCACAGCTTTTATTGCGATGAGTCCATGGCGAAACACAGGGAAGCCAGACAAAACCTAACCCGTTTAAGTGTCTGCTAAAACGAAAAATATGAAGTACTAGAAGCGTCTTCGGCGGCGTCGTAAGCCGGTGGACCTGTCCCTAGGGGAGGCGAGAGCAGGACGGAACTACAATTGCGCATCCGATACAAGAGGGTAGTATGATAAAGGCCTTCGACCCCTTTATATCGCAGCCCCTCTCATGCTGGAAAAAGAGAATACTAGGGTGGGTCCAGCCGATTTCGATCCCCATACATCGGAGCCCCCTCTAATAAGGTACCACCCTCTAATATCGGAGCCCCTTGTATAAGCTACCTTTAGATCGGAACCACGACCATAATTGTACCATAGGAATTTTCAACACGTCTGAAGGCAAAACCTTCCGATAAGTGAACGAGGTGTCGTCGGAGTGGGTATGTACTATACTCCACCATCCACAAGGAGGTTGTCCCCCAAGGTCCATGGGATTCTCGAATAAACTCGTGTGGAGGCATGACGTACCGAACGCATCCCTAAAAAATGGTTGCGCTCATCCACAATCTCAAAATTTCGAGAGATCTCGGTTGAAGGGTGAATGTTTTTCGACTCCGCGCGAGAAAAATTTAGGCCAACAGTAGCTTCTCGAAGGGGAGAAGAAAGGACAACAGGACAGGCAAGTCCCCGAGCCCTTGAGTTCACGGCCGACCTTACCCGGCCAAGGTAAGCAGGTGCTGCCGCCCACACCTGGAAAAAAACTGCATCACAAAAATCCGATTCAAGAGAAGAGCGGTGCGTTGCCATCATTCGAACAATCAATACATTCCACCTCCCCGAATGCTGTCCGGTCTTCCCCCCGCCCCAACTCGACCCGGCGTTGCTCACCTCTACTAAGGCCCGGTATCTCTTGGTGATTGCCCCGACGGCATTTTGCACAGCTCCCGTCTCTGCTGCTGCTGCTTCTGCTCCCGCTCCTGTTGCGAAGGCTTGGGTCGGAGGTATTGCCCTCCCTACTTGCGGCGTTTCTGGTAACGCTTCCGATTCCGTTGCCGCCGCCGCCTCCGTCATTGATGCTTCTTCGGAGACGGGGGTCTTGATGTTGGCGGTGCCGTCAGCCAGTTTTGCGGCTCGGCGTAGAGCCTTGTTCTTCCTCCTTCGGTCCCGTGGAGAATCGTCTCCCGTCTGGCAAAGAAAGAAACAGACCAGACAAGAGCGTCGAGAGCTGGGATACGTGTGTCCCCATCTTTGGTTCGTCGGGCACACACACCTTGATGATTCTTCATGCTTCGCGAGATAATGCTGTGCTCGCTGGGGGTCGTCGGTTTGGGGACACTGCTACACACGGGTTCAAGCAACACCTTATCTTCAGGGAACGATGACCAAATGCCTTCATAGCATGAGAAGGAAACATCATCATCATCATCATCATCATCATCATCATCATCATCAGAAGGGAACAAACAGGCAAGGACCATGCGCATAGCGTCGGTAACAACATCGATCGTTGACGAGAGTAACAGAACGCATGCAGGTAGGCTACCGCTAGAATAGATGGGGACGAACTTAACAACAACGCCAAGACTACCGCTGAAGTACATACGCGTGTTCCGTCGCCAAGAGACTAAAAGATCGCGAAACGTACCTGAAGCATCAGCCCCGGCCGCTTGATGATCTCGTTGATCGATCGAAGGGTATCCGCGCCCTTGGCTACAAGTAACATGTAAGTTAGGGTTTTCACAACACAATGAGGGGAAAGCAGCATAGAGGGATGAGGAAGGTTTTGGTCGTGCGGAACAGGGTGGCTTCGTTCATGTCCCATTCGAGCAGGGTTTTTCAAAACGTTGAAGGGACCACAACACAGAAGGGAGGAGGGACAAACATCGTACCGGGCGTGAATCATTTGGTTGCCTGACGTACAGGCTTGTGACCGGTTGACCATCCGTCTCCAAACGGCTCACCGTTCCTGCTCTTGGCAGAGTCATCATCTATTGTCGGGCGCGCGGTTTAACTTTGCCGTCACAGCTTACGCGGAGAAATGTTGCTTTCTTCTCCGGCCTCCGTCTTGGCGTGTTTCGGACACGACCAGTCTCCCATTAAAACACGGGCGGTGTTCTCGCCGCTACCGTAGCATACCGGTCGTCGTCCTGACATATCCCATACTTTTCTCCCCGTCTCTAAGGCGTCCCTCTCTCATCTGTGCGATCCCCAACCTCAAGGAATGTGAGCAATGCTCTCTCTATCCACCCTTGCAGCATGAACAACATGCCTTGGCATCCCTCTCCCGTACCTCTTACCTCTGCCGGCGTATTTCGTCATATTTTTTGGAAAGTCCAAGTTCCTGCACCCCAAGATTTGGTTCCACCGAAGAATTCGTGCTAAGGTTGTCTGAGTGTAACGACCAGAACACCTACCACAGCATAAACAACAACGACAGCACATCAACAACCTACAGCATTAGCAGCAACAACTACAGAATAAACAACAAGTGCGGCACAAACAGCAGCAACAACAGCATTAACAGCGACGATACCATCAACAGCAACAACAGCATAAACGGTAGCATTTGCACCTACAGCATAAATATCAAGTATCCCACCGACGATGACGAGACCCGAGGTGTCGTTGTCCAGCCGATGAGGGAGGAGCAAGTCCAGACCCGGCCTCACACCCCTGAAAAAGCCGCACAACAAAAAAAAAAAATGGAGCTGAAAGGTGGATGAAATCGGCCGAGAAGAACGAGCGAGCGTCGGGGTCAAGAGTCAAACAAGACATTCCCAAATGCGCCATAGTCAACATCTGATACACATGCTATATGAGGTGTTCGTGTCCATGTGTCCATCTGGTAAACTGCTCTCGCAAGCGTTGTTTCGAACCTTGCGCCCATCACGTCTGGGAAACTATTCAACATGGAGTATCTTTCACCATGTGTAGATACATCAAGTCGGATGGACATTGCATGCACCAGGTTTTTCGAGATATGTGCTCCCATCTTTCCGATAAAAACTAATGACACAATACTGCTGTATGCGTTTTGAACCGTGTGCCCATCGATAGTTCCTGATACGGCCCTCCCTTGCTTGGCACAGAACCGGCGCTCCACGAAAGGCTAGCGTTATCATTTCACCCCAAAAACCAAACAACGACGTCCTCCCTGTTTCATCCTGCTTTTCAGGTCCAACACAAGACACGGAGCGCACATTGTGGTTGCGCACCATTCTGGAACACTTTGGACAGGCGCGATATGATAATATCGTTGCTACCAAACACCAAACCCATGCGATACGACACCGAACATTCCGCGAAGGGAAAGCATGCTATCTAACCCGTAAATTACCTGATTCCGGCAAGCATGTTCTCGGCGAAGTTGTCCACGGTGGCATGTGCTGGTACGCCCGCGGGTTTGTTGACCAGCATCACCCCGGCACAATCGTACACAATCTGCGCGACGCCAGCAAGCATCCGTCTGCACGTGAGCAGCAAAAAACAACAGCCGGGCTAGTCTTGTACTTGATATCTCTGTTTGGCGAATGTGTACGGAAGAAAAGTGAACCCACATCAAATATCATGCCCTGGTGTTACGCCTACAACCAACGAGGTCCAACGTACTTCATCTCCCGGCTACACCACAAATGATTTCTAATGATGCATGATACGAATGGCACGACCTACACCGTTTGGTGCCTCAACGAAAACCAAGCACCAAGGATGTCACCCAGTGGCCGTAGACGGCACCAGCTGGCTGCACTACACCGATGGGCTACGAAAGCAGTCATCAACCCTAGACCCCCTTGCCCAATCGTGAAATAGGCGGACGTAAATTTTACCTTGGACTCCCAGTCAACACCGAGGAAGGCGGGATACCTTCGGGGCTTCGGAAAAATGCGGAGGTACTCCCCGATCTCCACTGAAGTGGCACGACGCGTGAGGAGCGCAGCAGAAAAAGCGTCAGCAGCATCAGCGAGCACTATCGATAGTAGTAGCGAATACGCATACGTCTAAACAGCACATCCGAACAGGTCATGATGCCTCTCCTTGAAACTTCCCAATGCTAGCACTTTGGTAACACCAGTATGATAGTAGTATTTTCCACAAGCAACAAAGACAGCTTCAGCTGGCGTGCGGGGAAGCTACACCAGTGGGCGTATCGGAAGGGACACCAGCACTTTGCTGGTTTTGGAGGGAATGATAAAAAGAGGTGGAGCACCAAGCGGTGCAGGATACGAGGTGTCTGAGTTGAAGTACGTGTGGTGGCTGAAACGTTCGTTCGACCCGCCCCTCCGCTGCTAAGCAGACAACCATCGCCTCAGGTGCGCTGGTGTTCCTTTTAAGACGTCGGTCGGGACGTTGAAATGTTCATTGGTTCAAGCCAAACCAATTTCTCTCTGTCCACAACCTTAATGTGACGGCAAGATGCGCGCAATCACACACACAACGTTGTATAAAACCACTAGTGAGATTTCTCAAGAAAGGGTTACCATCTCTCGCTCCCTCTCTATCAATCCCTCTTCCCTGCGTGAAAAAAAATCACCAACCTTCTCGGTCAGGATCTAGTTCCCTTTTGGGCTTAGCCGAGGCGGGTGCACCACCCGGCTTGTAGTAAACGCCTCCGAACGTTATGAGACCCCTCGCCAATTCTTCCGTCCATCCTAGAAACGCCGCCACGGAACTCCACAGGGGGCCTGCCCGACTGTTGGCAGCCGAGAGAGAATGAGACAGAGGAGCGAGAGAGGGAGGAGCGGGGAAGGCGGGGTGGTGTGTTTAGATGGCAAGCAAGAACGGGAGGGGGGGGGGGGGGGGGGGGCGTACTCTTATGTTTTGCATGCCTTAGCGGTTAGACCATTGACCACGCGTCCTCGAGAGGACGGAGCATTGTTCCCACAGGACTGATCACCGATGGCCAATCGTTCCTTCCTACTTTGCCAAAGGTGTCTCAAAAACGTCTTCCCCGGTCTATCTATCCTACCGATATCATTTCTACCGATATCACTTCCAGCCTTTTCCACTTCCTATGCCCCAGTACAGTTAACGTCTTGTCCTGGCTATCCCATGCCTCACATATCTCCCTGTACTTTTCTCCGGCTTCCCCAGCTCAGTCACGTGCACTTCCCCCTATTTCTTGTACATCCTACATTCCGCGATTACATGACCACGGTCTTCGCACTCGAAGTCGCAATCGCATTTGAACTTTGCGTGTTCATCGTCTACCTTCCGAAGTCTTGGGCTACGTTCTCGAAGGTCAATCAATGTCTTCTTTGGGGGGGGGGGGATGCAGCGAGAGCGTTCCGTTGTGTCGGTCAGCGAGCTTCGCCACCGGCGGCCCCGAAGATGCTTTGTTGCCTACCACATTTTTTATTTTTTTATGTTGCTGGCACGGGAGTCGCTTGTTCGTGCTGGTTCCGTTGTTCTTCGTCGTTGCTATTCTCGCACTACCGGAACCCAACATCCAAGAACGTGGGGTTTAACAGAGCCATGCATTTGAACGGGTTTCTCCGAACGAAAAAAGGAATGAAAATGCTATTTGGCCATGAACACCTCCATCGACAGCACGTGACGCGCGAAACTTACGGGGAGTAGGCATGTCGTACGTAGTCGTGCGGAGGGGCATTCAACCGCGGCAGCGGCCGACTGCCACTTTCATCTCCCCTCGCTGCCGTCGATGCTGTTGGTGCTGGTGTTGGGAACGGATCATCTCCGACGCTGTCTCCGGCCACCACGCCCTCGGCTCCTATCCGCGCCCCCCCGCTGTTAAATCTTCCCCCTCTCGTTCTCCAGATCACGGAGGACGCAATTGTCCTGTGCCAGGCAGGAGGGGGGGGAAGACAATGAGCTCGGAAAAAAAAAAATGCTCTCAATATATACACGCTCGTTGCTGTACAGGAACATGAGACACTCTTTATCCGTCGAGCCGTGGCAGGCCTCTGAAGTTGACATATATGCCCGCTACACTAGACTTCGGGAACACTGCTGTCTTGCGCCAGACCTCCCGTGTACGCTCTTGTGAAACCTAGCCTGAGAGTCGCTGGAGATACCGGGCCCTCAGCACAAACACACACGACTTCTTGAGCTCAAAATCGAATAGATATTACCATAGCTTTTTCTGTGATGGGATCACAAACCCGAGAGAAATGTTGTTCCGCTCCTGTATTTTCGGTTGCTCTTCCCCACCCCCTGCTACAGGGACCATCCCTACTCGCGCACCACGAGAACGAATTCACAAGGTCGATCTGCGTCGCCCCCCACACGTTGCCAATTGTCGACAATTGGTGTGTGAGCCCCAAGAAAGCGCTGAAGACGGAGTGGTGCTTGCTGATTTCCAATGGGTTCGACCTCTGTGCGGGTGGGGCTGCGCAGGGAGGATAGCGCAGCATGACAGAAACTCTGCGGTGACATGTACCATGGGTTGCATAGGATACCGCACCCCCTGAACCGAGTTCACAATAGCTCGGTTACTCCACAGGAAGAGGGCGTCAAAAACGAAGTGATGTTTTTTTAATTCAGCAAAGCTGTCGACGAGAACGTGACAACTACACCACTTTCGGCGTCATCACTGTTCTCTCCTGCAGGATAATTGAGCTTTGAAAGTTGAAAACCGGTCTGAGGGGTGTGGTATCTTCCGCAACCTGTATGTCGACCGCTTTTGGGTGTTGCAGCCGAAAGAGAGGGGCCTTTCAACCTTTATGATTTGGACTAACGACACTGGCTAGCCCGCTCGAGGGACAGCTGACAGCAAATGGCAGTGACCGGCGTACTACTGTCGGAGCGAAAATGTGACATACGAGTCAACTGCTGATCGTGTGCTGTGGACGTCCTTCCGTACCTCGTCGGTCTAGCAGTAACCGATAAGCCCGCAGCAGCTCGGATCAGTATTGTGGCTGTCGCCAATCCCCATCTACATGCCATACTCATCTCCGTGGCCGCGTTTGGTTTGGCCACAACGATGGCATGCGTCTATGTATCGGCATCTGGGGAGTTCCAAGAGTGCAGCAAGGCATATAGGAACTTGAGCGGGGGCACCACAGCAGTTCTTCGGGGACCTCTCGCGGTTCAACAGAAAACAGAAGCTTCCCCTCTAGCCACTCCTCCGGACTCCTTGCATAAGCGCTCGTCGCGGGCTGCCTCAAACCAAAATGGGGCATTACATGTGTCCCGGCGTGGAGCAAACCAAAGACACTATGCTGTAGGCAATCGACTGGCTTGAAGTGACAGAAGAAGTGGCTAACTCTGTTCAACACGTCAACACATCAATGATCAACAGGAACCCCCAACCGTGCCTGGTTTCGCCGCACAACACGTCTGTTCCCGCCGTTCTCTGTCAACCACGTGCAGCGTTAGGCACACCAGCAGTTTCGTCACTACGGGTGGCTACCTTTAGTACTCCTACGACACCCCCGACGCAGGAGCACACCAGTACGACATAAATCGTCAGCATCGTTGGGGTGTACATACACAGGTTCGCCGCCTACATTTACTGCGTGGCGCTTGGAAACCTTGGACCCTCCTGCGACGGAAGCAAAGCCGGGGTTGCAGCGTGGGGTTAGTGACAACCCCCTGTTGTGGCAGGTGCACCTAAACTATCGGTTGTCAGCTGTTTTCCTGATACAAGAATGGAGTTAAAGGCGGAGTCTAAAGATGACAGGGCGGTGGTGCTTGATGCGAAAGACCTGAGCAAGGGGGCAAAAAGCCTACGACACACAGGCATTCCTGAGGTTCGTTTGATACGGAAAACATGCTTGATGCACCAACTATAGCTACCATTCGGAGGCTCATCAATTTCATTATCTAGATTTTTGAACCAAGACCTGATATGTGTGCGGTCGATATGTGCAGATCGGGGATATTGAGAATGACACTACATACTCCTGTTGAAGGGGTGAAATCGCGGTTTCATATTTGAAGACAGCAGTATCAACAACAATCGCAGCCCAGATACTTGGATACGCCGATGTCGAGAGATGAGAACACTACAAGCTACCATATTCTCCATAAGAAACATACGTTTGCCATCGCAATTTGCTTCAGTGTTGCGACAAACTCTCGTTCTGCTTACCCCTTCTACAATCAACAGGTCAGCACGCGAGGTTTTCTCGCTGTCGTCTTATTTAGCCGGTATTTCACGGTGGTATCACCTCTTCGGTCTTTGCGGGCATACATAGGTAGAACTGTTGGTCACTTCTAAACTCCAAGTTGATTTCAGCAAAGAAGCAATATGTCCAGAGTTTGGCTGTAACTCCTGCAGGATAAGACAGGGAAGGTGGGAGTAGATCGACGAAGGGAGCGGAATTTTCCGATATTGGTGGGCTGAAATCAGCTATACGTATGAAATCCAAGCGATGTTTCTCCATTGTTCTCTTGTGAGTAATGTACGCCTGTACATCCTTCTCGCAAACGCATGCATCATGCGCCCTACTGTACCATCTATTACAATAGGAGCACGTGGAAGAGAAGGCGTCCGCACAGGAGCTCGAGCCGTACGAGAGATTGTTCCAGCAGCACAAGGGGGACTTACGAGCAATGTTTCACGAGCTTGGAGAAGATCCCGGGTACGAAGAAAGTGGGGACAACAACAGCATCGAGATCACCATAATGATGCCCGAATGAACGACGGCCGATGGTACCAACAGTTCCTTTGTGCTACAAGCCCAACCGCTGAGAGCATTGAAAACAAAGCCATGTGGGGTTGTAGATTGCTCTGTTGCGGCCTTCGGCAACACGCGATTATACTTTCAAAATTGAATAGTTTCACATCGAAAAATCAATGTTCATATTAATCATTACCACTTGAAACCCTTGGGTACCTGCGGCACCTCCACGATATACTTATCTGCAGTCTTTTGCTGTTCCTGCCCACTTTTCGCCCGCTTTCCATTCGAGACAGAAAGGCGCTCAAATACCCTCCGTCAAACGCAGAAGAGTTCGCTAGGGTCTACACGAGAGGGGGGTACACCTACGTGCCCGACGCCAAGTCGTCAACCCGGAAATAATAAATGAAGTCGACGTGCGAGATTTGTCTCCTGAGCCTTGAGGGTGTTCAGTCTCGGTAAAGAGTGATACAAACTTTCGTGGGTAGCGTTTTGCCTTGAAGTGGAAGCCCATCAGGCAAAGCACGCGCTGAGCACGTCGGTGCCACGACGAGGGGTAGATCTGTGTCAGTGCATCGCACAGGTTCCTGTCCAGGGGCGAACGTGCGCGTGAGTAACTCGTAGTCCGCAACAACAAGAGCTGGGGCGCGAGTTGGTCCTCCTGTCGATAAAGCGATGCAAAATCGGGGAAACAAGTCGCGACACGGCAACTCCTCTGCATGAAGCCGTACCCGTTGATTTCGAGAAGAAAAACGGGTTGCTCGACGCAGATACTCAAGGCGTGTAGTGGCCAACGATAAGCCGGGTGTGAGTGTCCTCACCCTCCTTCGTAGTGAAAACACACACGTGTCGTTCTTCTGGGGAGGAGGAAAACGAACCGGTGGTCACAAAACATACAAAGATCCGCCGCATCGGTGGGACATCAGTCGCAACAGGTGGCAGTCATGAACAACAAGGAGAGCTTTGTGAGCGGCGAGATCCATTATCGAGGTCCAACTTGCTCTAACTTTTTCAACCAACATCTATCTGCGGCGGTGTGCAACAAAAGCCAAACGCGACATTTATCGTCCATGAACGTTACACGAAGCGCTTGCACCACCCTTTCTTATCCCTGTAGTAGTTCCAAAAGTGCTACAAAGAATTGTGTGCCTTTGCCGTGCCCGCATGCTAATGAGACGAGCGGCATGCATTCATTCTTGTTCATGTCGTGGCATCGGACAGATTCCTAACCATAAATCTCCAATGACCATATGACACACGCTCTTACAGCCTCATGAGTAGTGTACCTAGAAGTGCAAGAACGATACCTGAGCGATATATCTATCTACCTATTCTACTCTATCCTGTACACGTAGCCCCAATGTCCCCCAACCGACGAACAAATCTTTCGTTCCTGTGTGATAGACACAACCGCCTTTTCCGTCTGGAGGAAGAGGTAACAAAAGGATTCATGTTACTCAGCATGCAAGCGACGGCAACCTATTCATACGGCGGGTTCGGGTACACCAAAGCGTGCCCTGAAAACTGAACGTACAAATTAAAATGAGACTACGTGACATGGCCGATACAATTTTCGATTTAGGTGGTTCATTGTGATACCACATCCATTGAACAAAAAAAAAGAGTGAAGAATGCGATTCCTCCACCCAACCCTTGGCGGGTACACTCGCGCTTTCACACACAAAACCAGCATCTTAAACACTAATTCAAACACAAAGAAAACACTAAAAGGATGGCAGAGATAAAGGAGCCAGCCTCATTCCGTGCGAGTAAAATCCAATTGTAACATGGGTACATATTCGATGTAGTAGGCGTGAAAAATTTCGTATACGCAACTAGTGAAAATCACAATCCAAGCACATACCTACAGCTACCGTACCACTTCACATTACCAGAGCCTCCAGATGCACGTCCTACAAGCCCTTTCGATTTGACCTTGATTTGCAACCAATATCGTTTCGGACAGATATGAACCCGGCAGCCTCTCTTCAGGCGTAAGGAAAGCACAACTCACACTTCCTCGTTGAAAACGAGAAAAGACATGCCAAACAAACAAACGTATATCACGCATGTATCACGATCTATGTGATGGAACTCGAAGGTCTACTTGAAGTGTACGAAAACACGAAAACATGCCGCAGACCATGTGTCCAAAGTTGTGGGCAATGAACGCGTCGCAGCTCTCGCCTCCAATATACGGATATACACACTGCCTCCTCCCAGCCGATGTGCCGATCATTTGGCTTGCGTGCTTTGGCCAGCGTATGCCCATAAACGACGGTCTTTCTGAGGGGCAGCCACCCCAAACAACGTGAAACGATTGTGAATCCTCCCAACTCTGACACCAATCTACGAGATTGCGCGTTGAACCCCCTCCGCCATGCCGCGTGGAAATATTACCACACGCAACACCCCATGAAAGCGAGCACAATAGAGGAGATGTTTTCATAAGTCTTTCCCGTCGGTGCATGCATTTCCACCGGCTGCAAGTGCTCTGGCTGGTGGACGTTTGGGTTCCGCCATTCGTCGAAAGGATAATAAGCTAAAACCAGGAAGAAAAAAACAATACTCACTAGTCTAATAACCGAAACCAAAATTCCGTTCATGAATCGTGACGTCTATCTATCAACGCTCGGGCAAAACGGCATCAAAACCGAAAACTCTTGCCGATCGCTGAGACACGGGGGCATTTTCATGAACTCAGACCAACACCCGGCTCTCATGTTCCTGGCACCTTCGTCGCTGCCATCGGGATCACACAACGACAACACGTAGTAGGTATTTGCCTCCACGGTCAAACTGCAGTATGTCCCCATCGAGGCCAGTTCGTGCCGCATCGCCTCAGTCGAAGTTCCACTGCACGTGTTGCTGTTGCTGTTGCTGTTGCTGTTGCTGTTGCTGTTGCTGCCGCTGCTGCTGCTGCTGCAGGCGGTGGTGAACCCGTAAAACCTTCTGTTCAAATAAGTTACACCACAAAACGCTTCAGCAGTCTCGACCGTGTGTGCCAACTCGCAACAGTGAGCAACAGGCAGCAATGGTTTAGGCGAGAAACTCGTGAGGACGCCTTACGCAGTACCGATATTTTATCACGGGAAGCAACACTCCACACGGAAATGGATGATGAAGCGATTGATGTCCTTCTCCGTCAACATGTTTCGCTCTTCCGTACACGAATAGACAGGCGAGGTACGAAGAGACCTGAAGCGGAAACACTTTGATCCCCCATCCAGGTTTGCGCCGCACTACGGAGACATTCTGCTTGTTAACATGGCTCTAGCGGGGATGCTGCAAAAAAAAAACAGCACACTTCGAATAGGGAGATGGGCAGCACAACATACGCGCAGCACACTACACACAGCACTTACACCTCGCCACCCCGGTAGGATGGAAACAAACGAACTCGGAGGGCAGGGTGGAAAGCGGGCTAGGAAGCAGCCTCCATAGGGAGCGGGCCACCACGTGGATAATTTTTCGTTTCTGATCGGCGCTGATGTCCGTCCGAGTTCATCCTGGCCATTCGTTTCGCGCGGCCGCCTGTGCTTCAACCACCAAAGAAACCGCACAACAGTGCTCACGCTTGGACTCACCAGCTCCTTGTCCACCCACCCGTCGGTGGGGTACCAGTCATGCCACTCCCCGGGGCCCCCAAAGCGACTTTCCGCGAGCGTCGAGTCCAACCCCCCACCATCGCCGCCGCTTCCACCATCACTGCTGCCAAGTCCCCCCGCGGTATCACCGGCAGCAGCAGCATCAGCAGTAGCAGCGATAGTAGCAGCAGCGCCTTGTCGATCTGTCCGCGAAACTCCGAAGTACTCCGCCCCAGGTGTATCTTCCAGGAGGCTTGATAGCGGGCTGGAACCGAAGTTGCACTCCGCGACGTCCGAGACAGTGAAGAAGGCCTGCTCGCATTCGTCGCCGAAGGCCTCATGTTGTGCGTCCTGCATGGAGCAGCCGATCAAACACCGATGTTAGCTTGACGTACCGCTCGAGGGCTGTGTGGCAGTCGGGGAACAACGACCAGGAGCTGGACCACAGTACGTGTGCACCAAGAATATCTGTGGTGAGGACTGAACGAAGTTCTTGGAACACGAATGAGAAGGTACCGTAAACATCGGGGTCTTGGCACACTGTGTGGTCGCTTTTTTAAATGTTTCGAACTTCAGACTTTTTTCGCACAGGTGTGCGAAGACCCCGATATGTGCCAAGTTCGCGATACCTGTGCGGAAATGCAGTAAATATTTTGGTTCTAACAAACAACGCACACCCCTGTGCCAAGACCCCGAAATGTGCGGTGCTGTTCAAACCCAAAGCGGCTGGTACGGCGTCTTTCGAACGCACACCCCTGTGCCAAGACCCCGATATGTGCGATCCTAACATTGAAAACCACAGGGGATAGCAGCACTTCGCTTGTATGGTATTGTTGCAACATGATCACAACACAACCAACAGACAAGCTAGTAGCTGCACACACAAACGAGTCTCGGGGAATTGCCACCACAACAGTTCCGTGGCGGAGAAATACCGGCGGAAAATCGGGAAAATGCCCGGAGCGGAGCTGCGGGTTCAGCCACACGCAACGCGCGGATACGATGCCGGAGGGTGCAAGCGCGGGACCTGCCGACGCCTCACAGGCCTCACAGGTCTCACAGGCTAGTGCTGGCGGTTCTTCCTCTGCGGATCAGGGAGCTGCCGCTGCGGACCCGAAGGCAACCGGCGAGGCTATCGATGAGATGCTAGCCGCCAACGACCCCGTCAAAAACAGCAACGGCAAACGCGCGTACCCGGAGCCCAACTTCCCGATCGAGCGGTCAGGAGCAGTGGGAGGGAAAGGGAGCTACCCCATCCGGTTCAAACTGAACGCGGCGCCTACACACGGGAGATCTGCCCGTGCGACGGTCAACCGGTGGGAAACAACGGCGCGGCGAAAGTTCTCCAGGTGCCTCGGAAGCGTATCATCGAGTGGCTGAAGCAGGAGGAGCAGCTCAGGGAGAAGGTCAGCGCCAACCCCAAGCTTTCGAAGGCCAAGCAGGTTCACAGCGGAGGGAAAGCTTCGACAGTCGACGCCGAACAAGCCCTTGTGGACTACATCAACGAGCAGCGCAAGCAGCATCGCGGTTGTGGTAATCGGGAGGTAATGAACAAGGTGCTCGAGCTGAAGCCTGACGCCCTTGGCGGGATGCCGGCGAACGCGAAACCGGAGGAGGCGCTGGCTTTCAAGGTCAAATTCAACTCCTGGTACCAACGGTTCCGCAAGCGGCATGGGTCCAGCATCCGCCGGCGTACCAGCGTGGGCCAGAAACTGCCGAAGGGGTACGAGGGTATGGCGTGGGCGACGGTGATGAAGCTGCGCGAGGCTCTCGTTAAGCGCGCCGGTGAGATCTACGCTCGGCGCCACCCGCCGGCACCTGACGAGAGCCCCACCAAAGGGGAGGATCTGACTTCCGAGCAGCTGGCGTCTGTGGAGGCGGAGGTTTTCGAGGAACTCGGCAACATGGACCAGACGCCAGTCCAGCACGAGATGCCGGTGGAGACCACTCTGGACAAGACCGGTGCGAAGGATGCTCGCATCAGCACAGGAGTTGAGGGCGGGAAAATATTTTTGTCAATATTTGGTGTGGTGTGCTGATTTTTTGTCGTTGGACAGTTTCTTAACACACATGTTTGTTTTTTGCGTGCCGGTACACGGTGCGATGTAGCTCTATCGGTAGACACAGGAGGGTTGCTACCTTTTTCTACGGGATNCCCCCCCGCCTCCCTCGCGTTGATTTTTTCCCCCTCCCCTCAGGCGAAGAGAAGGAACGCTTCACGCTCGTTCTGGCTGTCATGGCGGACGGCAAAAAGGTTTCGCCGCGCATCATCTTCGAGGGCACGCCGTTCATCCCCCC